TAAATGGAGCTAGAAACCTGATTACACAGTGAGATTGTCAACCTCTACATCAAACTGCCAAAGTCCATCATACCTCCTTTTATTGTTTCAGCTGGTTTGAGTTGAGCTTACTTTTACTTGAAACCCAAAGCATCCTAATTTATAGATTAGAAAAGGAGTTACATGCTTTGAAAAGGGATCACTTCCAATGAATATATTCAAAATTTGAGGGGCTATCTATGCAATTCTTATTTATCACATGGGTTTTTTCCATTTACAAATAAAATCAAATTGAAAAGTAAAAGGCCATATTTCTTTCTAGTTTTTAAGCTGCACTGGAGACATGTTTGTCGTAGGTTCCCCTCCAAATCTTTCAGTCATTAGTCATTGAGAATCTTACTCAAAATATAATATTGTAAACCAAAGTGTTTAAAGCTTGTGCTCTGTAAACACTCTAAATTGATGGATTTTTGAACTTTTGTGACTAGATCCTAAATAAGAACAAAACTCTTGAAACAACATATGCACTTAGTAAATGTGATGCACTTTGATGTTTTTAATTCTATTTAATTATTTGTGGATTATAACACACTATGTAAGATTCCATAATCCACTCCCTAATGGATTTGCAACCTACAGTTTGAAAAGTCACTGATATAAATCATTCTACTTCATTATTTTTGAAAGAAGACAGTCTTCTCAGAAAGGAAAAAAAGATGCACTGTCACTGCTGCTTACAATAAAACTTTAAGAACAGGAATGCAGACATTCACGACCTTAGGCTTTCTACACAGGTCGACTTTACGATCATGTGGAATACGTTACTGCTAAATTACTTCAGTTTCTGATAAATAGAGATAAAAGGCTATTATAGTTATTGCAAGTTACTCAAGGGCATGAAGTCTGGTGGCCAGAGTTTTCATATCTTCTAAAGCTTGTCTTTTGATCTTTCCCAAATACCAAGTTAGGAAAAGCATTTAGTATAGATGCAGCCTGGGGTTTCTTCCTAATATTCTACTATGATCTGATTCACTCCCTATTTGTGATAAATACTCAGATGTGCATTTAGATTAGCCACTAGTTGTCCACCACCAACATACACCTGCCACAGTGACATTGATACCCACGAGGGGCCTGGGGGAAAAAGTGTCTCTCTTTGCAAGTGGCTTATTAATAAGGAGTGGCTTGAACACTCCTCTATGAGTGTATGTGCAACGTAGAAATGAAGGGCTTATGAACATCTTTTTGCTTCTATGGTTTTGGTTTGTTTGTTTTTATTTACAGTATCAGGTAATGACTGACTTAGCCTGGGTTCCCCGTGAAGGCAACTTGGGACAAAGGCTTGCTGTAAGTTGATTGTGCTTAGGTAATTCCACACAGGAGGAAGGAATGAGAAAGAGCAAACCGGGAAATGAGGGAAGGCAAAATGAGGCGTGTTATTAGTTGGTCACTGCTATAGGCAACTGGGGTATGATCCCTTTAGGGACCCTCTGCGGAGCTATGAGGAAGGGAGCTCAGAATTGTCAACCTGAGGAATAAAAGACACTGAGTATTCAGCCACTGACTCCTGTCCTCCTTGGTCAAGAGTTGTCTGTGAGGCATTAGTGCTGTCACATATGCTGGGTAGTTTCTGTGAGAAGGCGAAGTGGGCCCCTCTAGTGTCCACAGCTGAGGCAGCAGTCAAGCCCTAGGGCCGGAAGCAAGGGGCCCGCAGTGCAGCGAGGCAAGGCGCTGTCCACTCACTGAGTGCTGCGGTGGCTGGAGTAAAAGCTTGGCTGAGAGGGCTGGACGGGGCTCAGAAGAGCTTCCTAATGCACTGGGGTAAGTGCTCTAATAAAGCAACATGTAAAATGCTATGGAAAATTAAATGGGAAAGAGGAGATGAGCGTTGGGCTTTGAGGCATGAGTAAAAGCGCTGCAGGCCCACTTACTGTAATTGCTTCAACTATTTGGTACACTTTTTCAACATCGGATTACTTCCTGTCCCAAAAGTCTAACATTTTTTTTAAAAAGGAGGAAGAGAAGGAGAAGAACAATCATTTTTTCTGTATCAAAAACTTCTGAATGTCAATAAAAAGTATTTTAGGGCTAAAACTACAAAGAATATAGTCCCCTGGATTGTGTGACTTTCACTTTACTGGTGTGGGTGTGGGTAGGGGTGTGGAGGGAAGCATGAAAAAGCACTCACTGTGTAATCTATTTAGGTGGTGAGAAGAGGGAATTCGCATGACACTGTAGTGAACAATTCAAAACACAGCGAGGAAATACATTTATGATACATTAAACAAAGGATTATTCATTCTCATTCCTGAAGTTGAAAAACAGATTGAAACAGCTATTATAAACACCCACTCTCAAATGTTAAGTTTCAATAGGGTGTACCATTTGTATCTTATTAATGGACAAATTTTCCAAAATTCTGTGGTTAAACTTCATGTTCCTTTCAAAAGAAAATGTTTATATAATGTGTTTTTGCTTGCTCAGTATTGGAAGAAGGAATATATCTCTTATCAAAATGAAAAAAAAGTTGAAATGTTTAAAAACCATCTAAACAGATAAAAAGAGAAACATAAGAGGTTTCAGGAAGCCCATGACATTCAATATTTTATATGGTTGTGATTGTGGTCTAGAATATTTGGGCATTACTTTCCCCCATATTATAAATAGTTATGATTTATATCTTAACCTGCGATTGATTCACTTCTAAAATCAGGATACTCTAAAATTTATCTTATTTTTTGTTCTAATAATTTTATATGTATTTATAAAATTATTTCAGGTAACATAAATAAATCATCCTAGGTTATTTTAAATACAGTTTTCCTATCCAAAACTGGTAGATTGTTACCATATCAAATTGTCAGTTGTTATTGTCAATATAAAATCATTTCTGAATTTATCTTAGATGCCATCATATGTAGTTATAGCACTTTTTGTAAAAGTCAGAATTTATCTTACACCAGCTCTCTTTTCAGATAGAGAACATACTTAATAAATGAAAACAACTTAGTTCGTAAGTCACATTTAACCAGCAGTACTAATGATTATTTAATGGAACAGCATAAGCTTGAAGTGAAATCCACTGAATTTACAGCTGATTTTATAATAGTATTTTATTAAGGTATATTTTACATACAGTGAAATCAAACACCTTAAAATATATACAGCTCAAGGAATGTTGACAAATGTATGCAGGTACAGACCATCACCCAGACCAAGACACAAAACATTCGACACCCCAGAAAATTCCCGCATGCCCCTTGTCCAGGTAATTTGAATCCCATCCTTACACAGAGCAGCCACATCAGTTCACTATAGCCTACTTTTGCCTATAACTGACCTTTGTAGAAATAATTATACAGTATTTTGCATCTGGTTTATTTTGCTCAACATAATGCTTTTGAGGTTCATTCTGGTATTGCATATATCAATAGGCCATTCTTTTGATGCGTAGTATTCCATTGTCTGACTATATCATATTATCCATCCTCCTGTGGATGGGAATTTGATTGTCCACAGTTTTCCGCTGTTAGGAATCAAGTTGCTATAAACATTCATTTCTCCTGAGCGTACCTAAGAATGAAACTGCTGAATCGCAGGGTAGGTGTCCGTTTAACTTTACTAGATACAGCCAAATAGTTCCAAAGTGTTCCTAGCATTTCACATTCCCACCCATCGTGTGAAAGTTCCCAGTTCCCCCCGTTCTCATTAGTGCTTGGAATTGACCGTTGTTCTCCAATGTTCGCCCATTAGCCATGACGTGTATTCTGCAATTTTAGTCATTTAGGTATCTTGCTGTGGTTTTAATTCACATTTCTGTGATGATAAGTGAGGCTGAGTCTTTTATATACTTCTTGGCCTTTTGTATATATTTTCCTCTGTCAAGTGTCTGTTCAAGTCTTTTGCTCCTCAACGGGCTTGTCTTTTTATTACTGATTTGCGGTTCTTTATATATAATGGGTAAGAGTCCTCTGTCACATATGTTTACTTTGAATATTTTATCCCAATCTATGGCTTGCTTTTTCACATTCTTAATGGAGGATTTTGATGAGGAAAAGCTTTTAATTTTGATGAACTCTAATTTATCAATTTTTTCCCATTTTTAAATTAGTGGTTTTTATGTCCTATTTGAAATTAGTCTCCTCCAAATTGTGAAGATTTTCTCCTGGAATTTTTATTGTACCAGTCACCTTTAGGTTAATTTTTCTGTTAGGATGTTAGGTAGAAGTCAAGGTTGTGTTTTTGTTTTTTGTTTTTTTCATGTTATTTCCAGTTATTCCAACACCATTTGTTAAAAAGATTGTCCTTTTCCTTTTAAGATACATTGGCACCTTGCTACAAAATCAATTGACCATATATAGTTCTCTTTCTGGTTTCTCTATTCTGTCCCATCGATATATTTGTCTAAATTTATGCCAAGGTCATATTGTCTTCACTACTAAAGCTTAGTAATAAGTCTTTAAGTCAGGTAGCATAAGTCTTCCACCTTGGTTGTTTTTCAAAATTGTTTTTGGCTATTTGAGGTCCTTTGCATTTCCACATACAATTAAAATCAGCTTGTCAATTTCTACCCCAAAAAGCCTTCTAGGATTTTTAACTTGGATGCACTGAATCTATAGATCACTTTGCAGGAACAAATTAGGCAGTTTATTTTCTCCTGTAGAGAGAAGTCTGTAGGTAGGCAGTCCAAAGAGATTACTCTCTTGTGCTCCTTGGAACCCAGGCTCCTTTGTGCTTTGGCCCAGCCTTCCCTGGGTTGGCTCCTCATTGACACGATGATACTAGTGTGTTACCTCAGCTATTCATTCTGCATTTCAGGAGAAAGCGGGGAGTGGGGCAAGGACAAAAGGTATATGGCAGCTGTCTTTCATCTTTAAAGCATTTTTTCTTGAAGCCCCATGAAACACTGTATATGTATATCTCACTGACATGAACTGCTTTTATAGGGTTGTTTCTATCTGGAAAGGAATCTGGAAAATGTTGTTTTTGAGCACAGCCCTAAAAATTAAAGTTCTATTAGTGAAGAAGAGGAGAAAGTATGTTGTTGGGTAGGCAAGTAGGTATCTGTACCTAGGTTCTTCTGCAAGAATGATAATAAAACTGAGAATGCTGGAAAAGGACCACATTCAGTGAAGTTCATAGATGATCTACTAAATGGCTTCAAGCTCTGAAATATAACAGAAAATTCAAAAATTCTAGACCAGGGATGTTTGATGTTTACAAGATAAAATGAAGATATTTTAACACCTCATTTAATATCATTAAGAAAACGGCATTTCTTGGTAAACAAAAGCAGAATCTGTTGCCTGCATTCAAGACTACTTCATTCCATTTCCTTCAACAGAGTAAAATCAGTCACAGGACGGGAAAAACAGTGAGTGAAATAACACATGTACCCTACGGATGCCTTAACAGGTGTGTGTCTGTTCAACCGAAATAGGTCATTGGGTTTCACTCGTTTCAAGAATGGACAGATGATTCTGAGTAAAGACTTCATGGATATTACAGGAAGCTCAAAAATGTGCAAATAAGATGGTCTTAGGCTGGCTGAGGGTCAGGTAAGTGGGAAGAGAAACAATGATTTTGATTGACAGATTTTGATTGACATTATCTGGGGTAATGGTGATGCAAGGCAGATGGCAGAACGCACTGACATGATGGCTTCTGGACTAAGTGACTCTGAGAAATATTTTAACTATATAGATAAAATCACCTATAAACTTTCAATGTTCTTGTTAATTTATACACAATTTGCCAGAGAGACACCTTTCTTTCACTGACCTTTCTGAAAATATTTATCGTTGAAATACATTCCTGGTATCTTGAAAGAGATTATACTTATTATCTATTTACCTTAAAAGGCATAGAGAAGAAATGATTGATATGCTCCTCTACTATACTCCTATACATTGGGTTTCTCTGTGAGCCAGAGGTCTGATTCTGGTTGTTTCCATTCTTCTCCAAGCACTGTGTTAAAACTGAAAAGCTTGAAGTATTCCAGACGATGGCTAAATGCAAAGGAAAAGAAGGTGGGAATTGAAATGAGTTATGCATTTGTGAAAAGTTTTCCTGAAGGACTATTCATTTTGTCACATCTGTGATAAGACAACATTCTATCTTAAGAATACCAAAGGTACGATATATTCTATATGTACAATTTTCTCACTCAAGCTCTCTGAAAACATTCACCCACATTCCAAAGCCCTCCCCTTTCAATTCTACAAACAGCTGCCTCCCAGCTGAGGAGAGAAATAAAAATCGACCCTCAAAATCTGACTCATTCCATCTAGCCTTAAACCATATTATAACCTTACAAATATTTTCATATTTAAATTTTGATATAGTTTATATCAGCCATTAAAACAACTGTCTTAAAAAGTTTCAATTCCAGGGGTTAGAGGACAGACTCCTTGGCCAAAGCAAAGGAAGTTAGTGTAAAAGAGTGTTAATCTTAGTTCTTTGCTTTCCAGGAACACCATTTAACCATTATAGAGATTTCTATTGTGGCTTAATAGGAGAGCAAGGTTTGCTAACAGCAGAACTCAGCTCTGTGGGAAATCACGCGCCTTCGCTCTGTCCGAGCCAGTGAATAATCACACTTTACCTCGGGTAAGCCTCCAATAACGTATAAATGGGGAGCCTGAGTGCAAAGAGGCATTAGGTGGTAAAGAGCCACAGAAACAAGCCACCTCGGTGTGAGGGCCTGAGTCATTTGCATCTATATTTTTGTCCCATTCTGCCCACCTGAAGACTAAACCACTGAGTCACAACTGCTAATCCCAGATGGCGAGGTTAGGGAGCTGACAGTGAAGGACGCGAGAAAGAGGCTAGTCAGAAAGGGTCAGGACGGGGGAGAAAAGCCAAAGGAAAAGGGGAAAGTGTGTCCGGCCGGATAAAGGAATAGGCTAGAAGAGATGAAGGTAACGTGAAGAGCATGACAGGAAGGAGAAGGCAGACAGGACCGCACTTCACAAGGGTGACAAGGCAGGAAAGCCCGTCTGCCACGGTGCACAGCCCACTAGGACATCTCTGAAGGCAGGCCCGCCAGACTGTCTCGGCCACACTGAGCACTCTCAGAGATACAGAGCGCAAATCCCAGCTTGGCCCAGGACGGCATCAGGCTTTCCTCCCATGGAGCAGTATTTGCTGCAGTCCATGAAGCACTCAGGAGGCTGGCCAGGGTCTATATTCTCCTTTGGTGACAGCTTCAAATTGGGCAAGTGTAGGAGATACCTTAGCTTACATGCCTGCTGCCCCACAGGAGCCAGTATCTCCTGTAATAAGTCCACAGGCATAGCTTCCAGGGTCCTCACAGGGTGGAATCCAAAGCCATGCTGTCCCCATCAGGTATTTATAGTTTATTCATAATAACATCAGTCCAGATGCAGCTTACCCTTTAGGAGTCAGTTTTATCATAAGCCTAGAAACCTGGTTGACATTTTTACCCTTATGAGGTTACCAGGGGTAGAGGGCTAGAGAGTTAACTAAAGGTTGTTTCCATTCTCCAGCAGCAAGGGAAATAATTTATTAACCCTTTGTTCACACCAGAAATCAGGATGCCACTGGCCATCTAGCTCTGAAAGGGGTCATAAAAGAATGTGCAGCCATACTTCCACAGCAGCTGTTGCAATATTTACTAAGCAAGATTTTTCTCACACTGCTATGGAAATATAAACGCTGTATTGATAGTAAGAGAGACAAAGTCTGTCCGAAGTCCGTCTGTCAAGTATATTCTGAGGACCATCAGGAAATGCAGCTCCCTACTAGGCACTTGTCCACATACGTCTTCTTTGACCAAGAGCAGTTATCACCGCCCCACCAAGAATTAATTTCCAAAAAGCTCACAGTTGGAACATCTCTTCATTGGTTTCCTACTTACAAGTCAGGTTTTTGTCCTTGTTGCAGTTCATGCTGAGGTACAGGGTAAAGAGCTTCATAGCGTCTTTTATCTTTTGATCCATGGATTGCAAATGAATTGAATTTTGTCACATTTGGTGGGAAATAACTCCAAGGGAGATAAGTTCTGCCTTCCCATTTTGTCTCTCCTCTGGATACTTGGAATGATAGAGCAAGTTCTTGCTATAGAAACAACATGTGAAATACAAAAGGTAAATTCAGATTTATACTTTAAACATATATATATATATATATATATATATATACATAAATATATTTTATATATCTATATCTATATCTATATATATCTTGTACACTTAAGGATTTTGTCTCATATTTTTATTACTTACTTTCCACACATTTCTTCTTCCAGAGAGTAAAAGCACCAAATGCTGTCCATGACTGTCAAAATTAAAATTGTTCATGAGTGTTTGAAAGAAACAAACATCATTTTCTTCACCATTCTTCATATCTGCAATGTGACTATTTGTAACTAAATTTCCAAATAATTAAAAGATGCAATATGAATGTTGGATAATTATAGGAAGAGCCAATATATTCAGTTACTTAGAAATGACATCTTTGAGTTTACCATTTTCCAGGCAATTATAGTCACATACATAAAGTTACACATGTTAAGATTGCTTTTTTATATTCTTCAAATAAGAAAATACATAAAAGACTTCAATTGTTTTAGATGATGCAAAATATGCAAAAGGGAGGGGAATATCATGGTATTGGAGTTTATAATAAAACTGGTTTCAAAAACTAAAGTACCTTAAGGGAATTTGGCACCAATTTCCAATTTGAATCCAGCAATTTTACTAAAGGTTATTTCTATAAGAAAATTGTCTTGAAGCTCATAAGGAAGGCAAAAAATACAAAATATAGTTTGCCTACAACTAGTCAACATGCTGAAAATTTTAATTTGTGTCTACTCTCTCACCCAACTGTCCTCCACCTGTCTGTCTCTTGTGTGTTCCTGCTTTCAACCATTAGTTTAGACACTGATGTCACATTTTCAAAGACAGACACAATATATTCTCAAAAAGGAAATTAATAAGAGCATAATTGGGTCTAGCCAGGTCAATAAGAATCACAGGATTTCAAGTAGTTACAGGAAACTAATTTATTGTCTCTGGAAAAGACTATCTAAACATTTCTACATAGATAGTCTTTTGTGAGCTTTTCAGGGAGGATTACCTTCAGCAAACTATTTGAACACAAGACAAGCATTTTTCTCCTCTACTATTTTTATTGTTATTATGCAAGCTTAAGAATATCCTAGAAATAAAAGTTCTTGCAAATTACAACAATATTCTTCACCTTGCTTTCCAAGATATTAATTGTTCCAGTTAATTGCCTGAAGCAACATCAAGATTCTTGATTATTGACTGTCTTGTTGTATATAAAAAAACCAAACTACTCTGAAGATTTTTTTAACTTTTAGAATTTATTAATTTTGTATATAATGGTTATTGTGCAATTTCTTTAAGAAACAATAATCGAATTATCCTATTCATCCAGTGCCAGGTCATCACTTTATGAAAATAAAGTGATATTTTCATCTAGTAAAAGTAAAACTAAGGATAAAATTATAGAATTCTAGCAGATACAAGTTCTTTACTGTCCTGTAGACAAGTTATAAATCTATTTTCCTTAGCTTTCTCACCTATATGGTGAAAATAATCACACAAGAGGCTAAATTTAGTTTACCTTACATGACAGTTCAGAAGAATTAATCATATTTTTCAATGAAAGATTTTGGCATGTTAGTTGAAAAGTGACAAACAAAGATATAGGGTTATTTCTGAAATATATAATTGCAAATGGTGAGATTTTCCACATTACAGTTAGCAAGAAATCAAAATAAGGGGAAAAAAATGACCTCTAAAATCTCATTTAAATCAACTGTTTGGGACTCTCTGTCCAGCCCACAAATGGGGGGGGGAAAGGCTACTGGGTATTAGATACCAAGAGGCATTTAAAATGAATAATCACAATGCAAAGAAATTTTTCACTATTATATATTTTACCAATTTAAAATGTGTTATAATATAGGTGAGAGGTGGACATAAATTTACTTTTTCATGACTACAGGACAAAAATTGTCAACCAGGTAAAGAAGTTTCCCAAGGGAATGATTAAGTTTGAACAAAGAGAGTCCATGGTTAATACTTTAAATGAGTCTAGGAAAAGCCATATGTGATTTAATTTTTATCCCTGACACTGAATGCAAAATGACATAGTATACACTCAACAAATGAATGATGAATAAATAAAGGAATGCATGAACACATTATTACGGAATACATAAAATTAAAGTTTAATCTAGTCATTAAAAAAATTCTCTGTGGGCCAGCCGACTAGCTCATTGGTTAAGAGTTGGCTTAGGAGCGGGAGCTCCGAGCAGCAAGGCCGCCAGTTCAGATCCTACATGGGCTAGTGATGCTGCACCCTCTAAAGCTAAGATGGTGAACAACAGCTCCACCTGGAGCTGGGCTGCTGTGAGTCACCGGCAATGGCATAGGCTGCAGTGGGGCTGACGGGGGCTGCCATAAGCTACTGTGAGTGGCCGGCAGCCAACGGGAGTAGCCAGCAGTCAGTATGAGCTGCTGTGAGCCTCCGTGAGCGGCGGTTCAATGGCCAGCGACTGATCTGCCTCAGCCGGGAAGAGCACAATGATCACAATACCAACATGGGCCAGTGAAGCGACATCCTCCACAACTAGACTGAAGAACAAAATGACAGCAACTTGTCTGTTCCCCTTCCCCGATTCCCCAACGCTGTTCCCTCCCCCAATTGCCCAATAAAACTTTTTTTTTCATTTAAAAAATTCTCTAAAAGAAACATTTTCATAAACTAGTTCAATTTTATATTTATTTTTGAACAGCTAATACATAATAATGCAAATTTATAGAGTAAATAATAAGTTTCTGTTTTTTAATGATTTTTCATTGTGCAAAAAATTATAATTTTTTAGAAAAATCAACTACATAGTAAAGTGAAAACAATGTCAACATAATATTTTCAAACATAATCTATATTCTGAATATATATTTTAAATTATACATTTACTTGAAAATAATAAATTATGTATAATTGTGATTAGCATTTCCGCTAGTTAATTGGAATTAGTGAGTTTTTATTGGGTTTTACTAATTTATAACTAGAAAACAATGTGTTCAAATTATATAGTAATGAGCTAGAAAGAAATTTTATACTTACGGGCAAAGTTCAACTTCTAAATACTGTTCAGTTATATCATTCAAGAAAAATGCTTCCACAACTTTTGAAAACAGAAATATAGCATATTGAGAAATTTAATTACGCTTCAACAATAAATAATTTCTTTATTCCTTTAGAATATAAAATAAATTAATTCATGATTTTTAATTATAGCTCTATCCCTAATAGGAAAAGGGATAAAGAAAATAAATAGACATTGCCTAGAAATAAATCATCATAACATCTTTCCAGATCAGAGTACCATAAATTAAAAGGAGTCATAAACCTTAGTGCTGGTAAGGTTGTAAAGAAATCAACATTATTATACAGACTTTGACCCAATTATCTTCTTCTAGGAATTTGTCCTAAGGAAATACTCAGACAACTGGGAAAAGAAGTAAGTATAATGCTACTCATCAAAGTATTGCTCAAAAATTAGAAATTATCTAAATGATTATCTCCTATTACATAGGATTATTGCCTACTACATAAATAAATCTTCTATTATATAGGAAATCTAATATATAAATTATGGAATTTATGTATTCCATGCAATAGGTTATAACACAGCTGTTAAAATCAAACACAGTTAAATATTTTTTCACATGGAACAATATCCATATTTGATAAGTAGTACATAGAGCAATAAGCAAATTAGCAAATCAGCAAACCTTTCAATGTAGGAATAAGTGACGCTGCAGAGAGAATAAGGGGTCAAGTCATGAAAAATCTTATGCAGAGATCATATTAAGAAGGGTAAAATTTTTCCTGGGAGGAGAAGAAGCCTGAGAAAGTTTTTAAGCAGCTGAATGATGAGTTTAAATTTTTATTTTAGATAGATCACTCAGGCTTCCAAGAGAGAAGGAGATGGACTTAAGGGCAAAAAGGCTACTTAGGAGGCTCTGCCCTAGCTAGCTGAGGTAAAAGATGATAAAGGCCTAACCTATAGCAGAGATGGTGGGAATGAGGAGGAGGTACTGAATTAGAGAAACGTGGAGGAGGTGAAATTGGTAGGGCTTTGTAAATACATCCAAATATGGAGAGTGAGAGGGAAAGATAACAGGCAAATCTCACATTTTACTAGACTTTCATTGATTGAGATTGGGCAATTACGGAAAGAAGCAGGTTTATGAGAAAAGTGGATGGGTTGAGTTTGGGACTTTTTGAGATTGGTACCTGTACTACCTCCAGTAGAGAAGTCACACTGGTGTGTACACCAGAAGGAAGCTGGTATGTAGCCAGCTCTGTTATCAGTAAAAGACTGCATATGTTTAACATATGATACTTTAAAACTGACAAAATGCATGCTATACAGATGGTATCTATATCTATATCTAAAGTAGATGTTAAGAGGAACTAGAAGAGTCATCAAAGGTTTCTTTGAAGAAATGGAACCTGATTTCGAGCTTGAAATATGTGAATTAGAAGCCCGGGGAATAGAATGAGAAAAGGTACATGGGTGAGAGTATGCATGGACAGTAAGACCATTGCTTTTCCGTAATCGAGAGCTTTTGCTGGAATATGATAGCCCAATTCATAAGTACCCTGAAAGCTTATAGAAAGGGTTTGAAGTTTCTCTTAGGGATAGTGATGGTTTGTGGTATGTGGGAATGGCACCATAAAGAGTATTTCAGAACGATAAGTTTGGAAGCTTAATTAGGAAACATTAGAAGGGGATCATATAGCAAACCCGAAACAGTGTAATTTCATGTCACCTTTCAGCTTTCATTTCATATGTGAGATTACTTGTCAGTACGTATAAAATAAAAACTACAATCACTTCATGGGTTGTATGGAGGCCTGGCCACTGTGCTGTGCATCTGAAACTAATATAAAATAGCACTCAATGTCAACTATAATCAAATATAGTGATATATATATATATATATATATATATATATATATATATACGGGATGTAAAGTACAGCATAGGAGATATAATCAATGATATTGTAATAGCTATCTACGGTGTCAGATGGGTAGTAGATTTGTTGGGTATCACTTTGTGAGGTGTAAATGTCTAATCATTGTGTTGTTTTGTACATCTAAGACTACTACTACTACTAATAATAATAATAATAAAAGAGCAACAAACCAAAAAAAAATACAGCCATGGCAATTAAATGTATAATTTGAAGGTTGGAATGTTTTCAGGTTTAGGGGTCTTATTTAATCATTATTCTCACATAAAATTCTAAATATTAATCATCCTCCCTCTTTTACAACCAATCCAGCAAACTGTTATACAATAATTGTTATGTCAGGAAATCAGAGCTCCTGTATTTTCTTAGTATATAATAAAATGAATGTGACTATTAAAAAAAAAACTACATTTCATGTTGAAGTTGATAGTGTTTCTGTAATAAGTAAAACACCTTGAAACATCCATAAAGAAGGTTTATAAGGCTAAAGTGGCAATGTGAAGATACTTAAAGACAAAGCAGGAATGCTAAACTCTTCTTAAAATAGGTAACAGAAGTAAAGGAAGGACATATGGCAGCAATTTAAAAATCTGGATTTGTAATTGCCATTTTTCACTGTTCTGGTTATGTAGTTGAAGTCACATAGGTAATGGTGAAAAAGTCATAATGAGAGATTGGTAGGAAATATCAGAAACTGCACATGTCAGTTGCTCAGAAGCCCTCACTTCCTTAGAGCAAGATAAAATAATAGTTCTGTGCGAGGTTATTATAAAAAGATTTATGTTTGCAATAAAATACAGTACTTCCACTTACCTTCATAATCCCATAGTTCATTGAAAGGCTTTCCTGGTTCCCCAGGTGGGGCTGGAGGATCATTGAAAAATGGTGCACTAACTTCCATCATCACTCCTCTGTCACCTGGATTCAGCCTGACAAACACTGGCTCATGCTTCACTGGGAAGCCATCCCAAGTGTGTTCAATTTTAAAATCCATCTGTAGGCGCAAAGAAAAAAAAGAACCATTAAAATAAACTCTTTAACAATATACAAATGTTTCCTTTAGTTAGAAATGAAATGAAAATGTCCATGCCAAATAGCAGGCAGGAAGGCGGCAGAGTGGCCCGGTCGCAGTTCTGAGAGTCAAAAAGCCGTTAATGTTATGGCGAATCACGGACACAGCTCTGTTGTAAAATAGGTAGTTGGATCCTAAAAGTTTTAAGGCTTTAAGTCTAGGTCCAAGATCATTTTTTAAAACTGTAATTAAGTCCGCTGCATAAATTGTTCATGTACTTAACAACTGTAAGCACTGTGAGTTAACATGGCATTTGTTTTATTGTAAAATACGCAGGTGTCTGAATTATAAGTATCCCCAGGAAATCAAGATCTTTACAGTAAAATTCTATTTGATAAAAAAAAATCTATAAATCAGCACAAATACAGCTGTCAACACTTATTCTTTTGGCTAAAATCTTTTACTTTTTGGGTTGGGATTGGGGGCTCCAACCTTTGAAGGTTATCGAGTTTTTAATATTGTCTTCCTTGGTCTTGGTATATAGATTTTCTCAGCCTTTTCAATTTCTGATATTTCAAATGTTAAATGACCTCTTGCTTGGTTAATCCCTTCTCACCAATTGAAAAATGGGGAAAAAATCTGCCATTATTTAAACTTTGAAATAGGCTAAGTATATTTGACAGAAACAGTATCTACATTTTAAATTGTTTCTCTAAGGATCAAATGGAAGGACATAATATTGTGTTAACAAAATTAAATTTTGTTGAACACTATGGATTAGGCATTTTATAAATATTATCTCATATAATTTCACAAGAAAATTGAAAAGGAACTATTATCATCCTCATTACAAATGAAAACACAAACTTGTCCAAGGTCACATGGCTGGCAAATGAAGAAACTGAACCAATGTCAGCCATGTTTTCGCAGATGAAATCATTTCAGGGATCTTTAAGGAAATGAAACCCTTATTTTAAGAGTGGTGGATTCCCCAAATTAAGCTAGGTTCGTATGTCTTGTTCAGAAGATAATCTTGATTAGGAAATGATGATATTTTCAGATGGTAATTTACCTATCTGAAGTCTTTGAATGCATCTCCTTCCTTCATATGTTATTTTTACTGCAATAACATTACTAAATTTTGAATACATTAATTTCAATGAGTGTGTATTGAATACCAACTATGTGTCAACCCTTGGGAGAGCCATATATGTAACCTGTGTCACATAAGGAATCCAACATCTCTAAAAATCTATTTCTAAAGTGTGTAGCTTTTCCTAGTTTTCACTACACGCTAACAAATTTTAATAGCTAACTTCTAAAATTAAAAAGTAGTTCTGGTATTGCAAAAGGATAAGGTCAGCAATTTATATTGAATTATGCTCAGCGAGTGATAAGATGGTATAAATTAATTGATTTATGTGAAATTTAGTCCTGACTAGCATGGAATAAAATACGTCAATAATAAATTTATTTTCTTTAGTTGAAATATCAAGACACTTCCTTCAAAAACAAGTGTATAACCCTCTACCCCAAATTTTGGTACTAGTATGTACCTTTTCATAGCATATCGGAAGAAATAAGCATAAATCAAGATGTTAAAAATGCTAATTAAATCTGATTCTGGACCCAATATGCTGAGAGACTATGGTGTTCTCCTAACTTGGAGCTTGACAATTCTTGGCAATCCTGGCAAAATATAGCTCAGCAACCAGGGAATTTTTGCAGATTCACTCATTCCCCATACAACCATCATCTTACAAAAATGCTGCTATGTTAAGGGACCCCTATCCTACACAGTGGGTTTCCACTAGAAAATTTTCAACTCCCAGCTCTTTCCATCATTTCTGTCTCTACATGGAATTAAACCATATCCCATGACAAGCTCCTAAAAGTGGCCGGTCACTTCCATGCACACATGGTAGGTCTCATGATCAGAGTGAGGTATACTTTTTAGGTTTCAAATTACTTCCACATCTAATTGTACCTGGGAGATAAGAATAAATAAAAGATAAAAGCAGAAAATATAGGGTAGTGATACCCCAAGTCTTTCTACTGGTTCCTTCTGGCTTTACCCCTAAGATTTCTTTGAGTCTGAAATTTTGTCTGAAAATTACTATTAATACAAGAAATATTGACTAGACTGCCACCATCAGGGAGGGGTGCCATGCTGCCATGTCCAAGGGTAGAATATACTCAGAATTTTGGCTTTAATTGCATAAAATGACTTTAGTTTCTTATCAGAACAACAAATTTGTTCATCTGCTTAAAAAACACTCATGTCAATCTAAGTATGCACAATGTTTATAACAAAATTAACCTAAATAGTCTTGTCCACTAGTTTACAATCTAAAGACAACAGGGACCCAGAGAGACACAATTAGCACTCTTTTCAACACCCTGGGGATACTTAGGACTGTCTCCTGAGACTTAACTCCCATCATCTTTCAATTCCTTTGTTTGCACACGTGTCCACATAAAGCAGAGACAATTAAACAGTCAACGTTCTTCACAACCTGGGCTAGTGTGCTTCCCAGCAGCACTCGACTCCCTGTCATTCTCTGTTTGTATACACTGCTCTGTTTTGATTCACAGCACTTATACCACATGATGTATTTTTTTAATTGTCTCTGCTTCCCCAGCTAGAATGTCTGTAAATAAAAGAAATATTTATTTGTTGAGTAAATAAACGTTCTAGTCTCTGGATCTAAAATTTCATGATTCTCAGGTCTTGTGCAGGAGAAACCAACTGTGGTTAGTGGTATCAATCTCTCTCTCAACACTATATACTAAAACAGTGGCAAATAACTATGAAGATACATCATATCTAGAAATTTCCTTTCAATTTAGTTTATTAGCCACTCACTTTATTTCAGACACCACGCCAGGTGCTGGGGAAATAAAGTATAAGTAAGAAGTCTAGGGTAGTTGAGAATGATCCTCATGGAGCTAACCAACAAGGTCCATTATCAATTGGTTCATTTTGCAGTCCAATGTAATCAAGTTGGATCCCGACACCCAACTAAGCTTTAAATCAATCAAAGATGGAAACATAAAAATCAAACCATATAAAAACAAGAAAAAAATGGGAGGATTTTAAAAAAGATGGTCTTATGAAAGCCTTTTAAAGTATAACTCCAAACCCAGAAGATATATAAGAAAAGGCTGATAGATACATTTGGCTACATAAAAATAACAAAATTACAAGCAGAAGTCAGCTTATCCCCATAAAAAAAAAAGAAAAAAAGAAAGAAAAGAAAAAATCCCACCATTTCAAAATCAAAACATACTGTGATAATGAGGACACTGAGAAACAATCACATATTGGTGTTGGGGCACAACCAGCACAGCCTGTCAAGAGCAATCCCTCAATATCTACCCAAAAAAAATGCAAATATCCTTTGACTCAACAATTCCAGTTCCAGAAGTTTCATACATGCACATATGTATGACACAGTATAAAGTTTTCACTGCAACATTGTTTAGAATAACAACATACTGTAAGCAACTTAAATACTCATCAGTAGAAGACTGGTAAAGAATTTATGCTACTGATGACAATAATCTATACTTTGAAACAAAAGATCTGTAATGGTGACATGGTATGTTTTAAGAATCAGTCCAGGTGTGATTTTTTTCCAATCCCCTTCACTCTAAACCATATATTGTGATGCATTTTTCTTTGAGAGGGTCTATATAATCATTTTCTAGAAAGTATAGTTATCTGTACTAATGTTTTTATATAAAGAATATAGTGTCTTTGTGGTTTTAAAGACAACTGTGAAATAAAATTGTTTCACCTAAAAAAAAAAANTCCTCCACAACTAGACTGAAGAACAAAATGACAGCAACTTGTCTGTTCCCCTTCCCCGATTCCCCAACGCTGTTCCCTCCCCCAATTGCCCAATAAAACTTTTTTTTTCATTTAAAAAATTCTCTAAAAGAAACATTTTCATAAACTAGTTCAATTTTATATTTATTTTTGAACAGCTAATACATAATAATGCAAATTTATAGAGTAAATAATAAGTTTCTGTTTTTTAATGATTTTTCATTGTGCAAAAAATTATAATTTTTTAGAAAAATCAACTACATAGTAAAGTGAAAACAATGTCAACATAATATTTTCAAACATAATCTATATTCTGAATATATATTTTAAATTATACATTTACTTGAAAATAATAAATTATGTATAATTGTGATTAGCATTTCCGCTAGTTAATTGGAATTAGTGAGTTTTTATTGGGTTTTACTAATTTATAACTAGAAAACAATGTGTTCAAATTATATAGTAATGAGCTAGAAAGAAATTTTATACTTACGGGCAAAGTTCAACTTCTAAATACTGTTCAGTTATATCATTCAAGAAAAATGCTTCCACAACTTTTGAAAACAGAAATATAGCATATTGAGAAATTTAATTACGCTTCAACAATAAATAATTTCTTTATTCCTTTAGAATATAAAATAAATTAATTCATGATTTTTAATTATAGCTCTATCCCTAATAGGAAAAGGGATAAAGAAAATAAATAGACATTGCCTAGAAATAAATCATCATAACATCTTTCCAGATCAGAGTACCATAAATTAAAAGGAGTCATAAACCTTAGTGCTGGTAAGGTTGTAAAGAAATCAACATTATTATACAGACTTTGACCCAATTATCTTCTTCTAGGAATTTGTCCTAAGGAAATACTCAGACAACTGGGAAAAGAAGTAAGTATAATGCTACTCATCAAAGTATTGCTCAAAAATTAGAAATTATCTAAATGATTATCTCCTATTACATAGGATTATTGCCTACTACATAAATAAATCTTCTATTATATAGGAAATCTAATATATAAATTATGGAATTTATGTATTCCATGCAATAGGTTATAACACAGCTGTTAAAATCAAACACAGTTAAATATTTTTTCACATGGAACAATATCCATATTTGATAAGTAGTACATAGAGCAATAAGCAAATTA